GGGAAAGAGAAAAGAAAAAACTAGGTTTTACCTGTTTCTCCTGTTCCTGGGTGGGACACCGCAGGATGAGATTTGGGGAGGAAGGGGGAGGTACCCATCCCATTAATGCTACTCTGCCCATGAGTTGAAATAATTTTCTCCTAAGTAACCCTGAGTTCAAATTTCAGTTTTGCAACTTACCTTCTGCATTATGGAAGGTAAGTTACTGGAACCCCTGAGCCCCAGTTTGCCCTTGTCCCAAACACACTCAATACGTTCCTATGCCATAGATTCCTTTACATCATTTGTGCGATGTATTTGTGGTATAATGGCGTATTTATATAGAAATCAGTATATACGCGGTGTGTGGAATAACTATGTGCTGAGCACGTGGCTAAGTGCTTTGATTAGATACAATCAACCACTTTTTACAGAGCAGGCTACTGAGCGAGGCTCAGGTAGGTTAAATTACTTGTTCAAGGACACAGCTGCTAAGTGGTGAAACAGAATCAGACCCACAAAGTATCCCTCATATCGGCATGGATATTGCCATCTCCCCAAAGCACTGAGTAGGTAAGGCCAATATTTCAGGTAAATCCTCATGACCCCTGGGAGAGAGTTGTTATTCTTATTCTATACCTAGGGGAAGAAACAGTTCCAGAGAGGATGTGACCCGCCAGAGCCTATGTATGCGCTCTCCTGCCTGCCCTGTTGTCTTTTTGATAACCTTGTGCCCTCTGCCCCCCCCCCCCCCCAGGACCCGATACATCAGCACAGAGCTGGGCATCCGGCAGAGGCTGCTTGTGGCGGTGCTGACCTCACAAGCCACGTTGCCCACACTGGGTGTGGCCGTGAACCGCACGCTGGGGCACCGGCTAGAGCGCGTGGTGTTCCTGACCGGCTCTCGGGGCCGCCGGGCACCACCGGGCATGGCCGTGGTGACACTGGGTGAGGAGCGGCCCATTGGGCACCTGCACCTGGCACTGCGCCACCTACTGGAGCAACACGGTGACGACTTTGACTGGTTCTTCATAGTGCCTGATGCCACCTACACCGAGGCCCATGGACTGGCTCGCCTAGCTGGCCGTCTTAGCCTGGCAGCCGCCGCCCACCTCTATCTGGGCCGGCCGCAGGACTTCATCGGGGGAGAGCCCGCCCCAGGCCGCTACTGCCACGGCGGCTTTGGGGTGCTGCTGTCTCGCACACTGCTGCAGCAGCTGCGCCCCCACCTGGAAAGCTGCCGCAACGACATCGTCAGCGCGCGCCCGGACGAGTGGCTGGGGCGCTGCATCCTCGATGCCACCGGGGTGGGCTGCACCGGCGACCACGAGGTGGGCAGATAAGCCGCCCCGCCGGCTCCTCTGGTCTGAGCTTGTGCACTTGCCCCTCAGAGGCGAGGGGGTAGTTGGAAATAATAGCCCTGGGTTTTCCATGCCAGTGCTGTCACTTTCTATCCCTGTGGTTACAGGGGCAAATCACTCATCTCCTGAACTTGGGTATCCTCCAGACCAATGAAAATAACTATTGCTCAGGGTTGTTCTAAGGATTAGGAAAAAAATAAGGGAGCCTTGCACATAGTAGGTGTTCAGTGTTGGCTATTATTTTATTTGAGCCCCCGGACAGCTCTGAGATAGGATGCATATGCCCATTGCACAGATGAGCTAGCAGAGGCTTGCCCAAAGTCACACAAGCTCACAACTGGTCAAGGTAGACTTAAACCCAGTAATTCTGACTCCCAAGTCCACAACAGGTCATAGGATGGGAAGATGAGGCACACACTGGGGGGTGGGTGGGGAGGCTGTCCCATCACTCTTCCCGTTATGGACCCCTTCCCTTCCCCCTCTCCAGGGAGTCCACTATAGCTACCTGGAGCTACGCCCTGGGGAGCATGTGCAGGAAGGAGACCCCCATTTCCGCAGTGCCCTGACAGCCCACCCTGTGCATGACCCCGTGCATATGTACCAGCTGCACAAAGCTTTTGCCCGAGCTGAGCTGGAACGCACATACCAGGAGATCCAGGAGCTGCAGGTATGGTCTGGGCCCCAGGGATAGAGGAGACAGGTCCTGAGACGTCTCAGAGATCCCAGGGAAATAAAAGCTAGCACTAGAGGGGCGCCTGTGGCTCAGTAGGTTGGGTGTCTGCCTTCGGCTCGGGGCATGATCCCGGGGTCCTGGGATCGAGCCCCACATCCGGCTCCTTGCTCAGTGGGGAGTCTGCTTCTCCCTCTCCCTCTGCCTGCCGCTCCCTCTGCTTATGCTTGTGCTTATGTTTGTGTGCTCTCTCTCTCTCTCTGTGTCAAATAAATAAATAAAATCTTAAAAAAAAAAAAAAAAAACCTAACACTAGAGTCCGAGAACAAACCAGCTTCCCAGTCGCTGTTCGTTTCTGCCTTTTCTGAGAAGCTCCTCTGGAAACTTCCCTTTCCACCCTTAGGCTGCCCCAATCTGGGGGAAGGGTAGGTGGGGGCCCTGGGATAGCAGGGGTTGGCAGGGGAGTGGAGACCCATCCCAAGTAGCGCCCATCCAAAGTAGCATCCCAATGGCTGCTTTGTCCTCCAGCGATGTGCTGACCCCCACGGTCTTTGCCTTGCTCATGGTCTGTTTCTCCAACCTAGTGGGAGATCCAGAACACCAGCCATCTGGCAGCTGACGGGGAGCGGGCAGCCACCTGGCCCGTGGGCATTCCAGCACCATCCCGCCCGGCCTCCCGCTTTGAGGTGCTGCGCTGGGACTATTTCACAGAGCAGCATGCTTTCTCCTGTGCTGACGGTTCGCCCCGATGCCCACTGCGAGGGGCCGACCGGGCCGATGTGGCTGACGTTCTAGGGGCAGCCCTGGAAGAGCTCAATCGTCGCTACCACCCAGCCCTGCGGCTCCAGAAACAGCAGCTGGTCAACGGCTACCGACGCTTTGATCCTGCCCGGGGCATGGAGTACACACTGGACTTGCAGCTGGAGGTGCTGACCCCCCAGGGCAGCCGCCGGCCCCTGACCCGCCGGGTGCAGCTGCTACGGCCGCTGAGCCGTGTGGAGATCTTGCCTGTGCCCTATGTCACAGAGGCCTCGCGGCTCACCGTGTTACTGCCTCTGGCTGCGGCCGAGCGTGACCTGGCCCCTGGCTTCCTGGAGGCCTTCGCCGCTGCAGCCCTGGAGCCCGGCGACACGGCAGCGGCCTTGACCCTGCTGCTCCTGTACGAGCCCCGGCAGGCCCAGCGGGCGGCCCACGCGGACGTCTTTGCACCTGTCAAGGCCCGCGTGGCCGAACTGGAGCGGCGTTTCCCCGGTGCCCGGGTGCCCTGGCTCAGTGTGCAGACGGCCGCGCCCTCACCACTGCGCCTCCTGGATCTGCTCTCCAAGAAGCACCCGCTGGACACGCTGTTCCTGCTGGCCGGGCCAGACACGGTGCTCACGCCTGACTTCCTGAACCGCTGCCGCATGCACGCCATCTCCGGCTGGCAGGCCTTCTTCCCCATGCACTTCCAGGCCTTCCACCCGGCCGTGGCCCCCCCGCAGGGCCCCGGGCCCCCGGAGCTGGGCCGAGACACGGGCCGCTTTGATCGCCAGGCGGCCAGCGAGGCCTGCTTCTACAACTCCGACTACGTGGCGGCGCGCGGGCGGCTTGCAGCGGCCCCCGAGCAGGAGGAGGAGCTGCTGGAGAGCCTGGACGTGTACGGGCTCTTCCTGCGCTTCTCCGGCCTCCACGTGCTGCGGGCCGTGGAGCCCGCACTGCTGCAGCGCTACCGGGCCCAGGCGTGCAGCGCGCGGCTCGGCGAGGACCTGTACCACCGCTGCCGCGAGAGCGAGCTGGAGGGCCTGGGCTCCCGCACCCAGCTAGCCATGCTGCTCTTCGAGCAGGAGCAGGGCAACAGCACCTGAGCCCGCCCCGCAGCCCGGAGCCCCGGCATGGCAGCGCCCCCCACCAACTCCTCCCCAGCAACCCAGAGCCACCTACCAGCCTCGCCGGACAGGGCTGGCTGCAGCCTTGGACCCCAGGGCCGCCCGCGGGCCCCCTCTCTCTAGCTTTGTGGGTCCTCGGGCTCAGGACAGGCCCCGGCGGGGGTGGGGGGTGGGGGGGAACCTCCGGAACTGCCCCTTCCTGCCCCAAACCTGGTCTCCCTGCCCCCGCCCCCCTTGACGCTGCTGATCAGGCTGTGGCCTCTTGAGTATTTATGCAGTGCAGTCTGCCTGACGCCAGCCCCATCTCCTAGGGCCTCCTGGGGGCTGGGCTGTAGATGAGTGGTTGGGGAAGAGGGGAGCTGAGAGAAGAAGGTAGGGTATCTCCCAACTTCTCCCTTCTGGACCTGGATGAAGCTCCCTGCCTTTAATAAACTGACTGAGTGTGGACTCGTGATTCTGAGTTTTCAAAGGTGGCCTGGGGATGGGGAGGACTGGCCGGGAGGATGGAGGTTCCCTTGTCCTGGCTGGCTGGGGCCCGGGTTTCCTTTTCCCTGGGATCAAGCCATGCCTGTGCCCGGCCCTGCCCCAGCTTGGTCATACAGGCACACAGAGAATTCTTTATGCCTCTTTATTCTCAGTTTCGTCAGCGCTTTATAAAACCAGACCGGAGGCAGAGAGGCCCGTGGAGAAGGCTCCCTTCCCACCCCCAAGCTCAGCCAAGGTCTAATGGGTCAGCCTGCTCCCTGTGGAGGGGACTCTGAAGGTCGGGTTGGGGCAGGGGGAATTGGGACCTGGGCCAGGCCTGCTGGGCCACCCAGTCCCCCTGCCAAAAGGGGAGCTGGGCCTGGAGAGGGACAGGAAGTAGGACCAGCCCAGCACTCCTGAGTCCTGGGGGTTCTCCCTCTCCTGCTGACATTCTAGGGCTGGGACCCTTGGCTGTCCCTGAATCACCCACCCCCATAACCCCACCCACCTTCTAATCTGTAGCCCCACCCCCACCCTGTCCTCCCTAAATATATACAAATGTACAGGGGGTCCCACCCCTGCTCGGGTGGGCCCCTCCCTCCACCTCCCTCCACCTCCCTCCACCTCCCTCCACCTCCCTCCACCTCCCTCCACCTCCCTTGCTCCTTTCCTCCCCTCCCCTCCAGCCCTCCCCGGGCACCAGCCTGGGGCTTGGGGGTGGGGGGGGTGGGAGGGTGGACCAGAAGGACCCTTGTGCAAAGCCACTGGCACCAGAGCTGGTGAGAGCCTGAACCGAGTCCCCACCCTCCCAGCGAGCACTGCCCTCTCCCCCTCCCCTTGGGCTGCCCCCAGGCCTTGTGTCCCAGGAGCAGGAGGAGACTTGGGGATCCTGGGAGGGGTCCCAGACTCCTGGGTCTTTTTAGACACAGCACCATCCTAGCAAGCAAAGTCTTCAAAGAGGCCTCCTCGGGGGCCAGGAGGGTGGTGGTGGTTGGGGAGCAGGCCGCTGGCTCCCCCGCCCTCAGCACGGCCCCGGCTGGGGCATGGGCTCTGCGAGATGAAGAGGGAGTGAGACATGAAGAATGTGAGTCAGACCCCCGGGCCCCACACAGCCAGGCTTTCCCTGTGCCCTGGGGCAGGGGCTCCAGGGGAGCTCTGACAGGCTGGGTCAGAAGCTGCTGAGGCCCTCAGTCCTAGCAGACTGCACTCTGCAGAGCTCCTCCTCACCTGCTCCTTCAGCTCCTGCAGCCCCAGGGTGGAGATGCCCCCAGTGGAGGTCCGCAGGGGGGGCTTGGGACGACGCCACGCCCGCTTCAGTCGGTGCCAGGACACCTTGGGGTTCAGGGTGGGGGGACAGCAGTAGGCTCAGGAAACTTGGTAAGGGAGACGGGCTAGGCCTCACTGGGGCCCACCTTGTAGGACTCACTGCCCCAGCAAACCCCCAAGAGGACTCCCTAATCCTCCCCACCCATCCCCTTCTCCTAACTCCTCAGCGCCCTCATGCCTTCCAGCTGGTCAGGAGACCCGGGCCCCAACTGCCAAGCTTGGCTTCGCGGCCACGCCAGCCGCACCGGGAAGCCTGTACTGCCCGCCCGGCTTTTCCCACAGCCCCTCCTCCCGCCCTCCATGCCCCCTCCAGGGGGGCCCCCCCAGGCCCCCATCCCTTGCCTCATAGATGTAGTCCAGGATCTCCAGTAGTGTGAGGATGCTGGCCCCGATGAATAGACCCATCTGTCCCCCGAGGTCTCCTGGGGAGCACGAGAGCAGGTCAGAAGTACAGGCTGGGCTGATCCACCCGCATGGAAACGGGTCAGGACCGTGGCTCACCCAGCAGGGCTGACAGGCCATAGGCTGCTCTCTGCTCCATGGCCTCAGAGGTCAGGGCTTCAAAAAAGACATCGAGGACCAGGAAGTTCTCCCTGCGGAGACAGCAAGCAGAGTGTCCCTGTGGGGCGGTCCTCCTGAGGAGGCGGCTGGCGGGGACATCCCAGGTCCAGCAGGTCCTGATCCGAGGTCCCCTGCCCCAAGAAGCCTCCCAAAGGCTGTGAGCGTGGACAGTCCTAGGTGCATGTCTGTTTTATACTTGAGGGTTACCCACGGGCCTGGGAGAGCAAAATAAAACTCCTGGACCTGGGCGCCTGGGTGGCTCAGTCGGTTGAGCGACTGCCTTCGGCTCAGGTCATGATCCCAGGGTCCTGGGATCGAGTCCCACGTCAGGCTCCCTGCTCTGCGGGGAGCCTGCTTCTCCCTCTCCCACTCCCCCTGTTTGTGTTCCCTCTCTCGCTGTGTCTCTCTCTGTCAAATAAATAAATAAAATCTTTAAAAAAAAAAAAAAAAAAACTCCTGGACCTGAAGGAGTCCCTCCTGCCTTCCGCTGTAAAGCAGCAAATGACATTCACTCCGCATCACCACAATACCTCTCTGGAACTTTCAGTGGCTCCCTATTGCCCAGCAGTCCACCCCCAAATTCTTTTTCCGGGCCTCCAAGACTGCCCATGATCTGCACCTTCTCTCCACACGGCCTCCCCGCCACTCAGTATGATCCCACAGTTCTCTAGTTGGGAGGCCTCCCCCCGTCTCCTCCTCTCACACACCCAGGGGCTTCAGAGGCCCGGCCTCCCCTGCTTCGTCATCCTCCCAGCCCAATAATCTCAGTGGAGGCCTGACAGTCGGTATCACACCATCAAATATGGCCTCACCCACACACTGTGGCGGGAGCTTTGTGGCGTAATCGTCTCTGTCCCCACAGGACCCACACCCTGACACCCTGGCACCCACAGGATGCTCAGCATTTGTAGATTGGCTGCAGGGGACCAGACCCAAGGCTCAGTGAGGTCTCTCCTGCCAGCCAGCCACCTGGTCCCTCTCCATCAGCACAGCATTCCCTCAGTGTGCATTTAATGGCCCCCAGGTTGCTGGGGGAGAAAGACACAGCAGAGGGCGGGAAAGCAACAGGTGGGTGCAATGAGAGAGAGAGAGAGAGGTATAGGCTGCTGTGGGAGCTCAGAGGAAAGACGTTGGGATCATGAAGGGCCTCCCTGGAGGTGCCTGAGTGTCTTCAGTCAGTTAAGCAGCTGCCTTCGGCTCAGGCCATGAGCTCAGGGTCCTGGGATGGAGCCCTGGGTCAGGCTCTGCGCTCAGCGGGGAGTCTGCTTCTCCCTCTCCCTCTGCTCCTCCCCCCACTCATGCGCGCTTGTGTGTGTACGCACACTCTCTCTCTCAAATAAATAAAAATCTTTATTTAAAAAAAGAGGGGCCTCCCTGGAGGTGGGGACACAGGACGGGACGTGGAGGATGGGTAGGGTTTAATTAGAGGAATGGGATTGTGAAAGGCATCCCTGGCAGGAACCTCGTTAGTAAGAAAGATGCAGCCCACCCCCAGTCTGCGCCATGCACCAGGCCTGTTGAGGGTGACCTCCACTACACACACACACACACACACACACACACACACACACGTACCGGATGTAGGTCTCATTGCGGTTGTACTTTCTTGCCAGGTACCGGGCTGAGCCCCTGTTGGGGATCCTGACCATGGAGATTTCTTTCCCGTAGCGAGTCAGGTTGCAGGGAGTAGGGCAGAAACACGGGCCCTCGGAGCCCCCACCCAAGGAGTCTGCAACACAGAGGCACCAGCTGCAAGGGGGGAGGGCGGGTGGCCCAGAGGCCCACTAGCTGCCAGGAGAAGGTGTAGGGGCTGTTCTGAGGAAGGCACATCCCCAGGGCGGGGCGGGGGGGGCCTCTACAGGCACTGCCTAGGGGAGACCCGCTGGGGGATCCTTCCTGGACCAGCTTCAGACTACCTAAGAAAGCAGGTGAAGGTAGAGCCCCCCAGCACCCTCCTATAGGCTTATTCTTCTGTGTCCCAGCCCCCTGGGGCGGAGAAGTCCCCATGGCTCAGACTGAGGACACAACCCATCCATCGGAGCTAATCAATCACATGAGGCCTCACACACACACGGAGCTTGGAGGATGCTGGATGAATGGGATTATATGCTTGTTTTTACACATGCAGATGGATGAGTGGATGAGTGGGTGGGTGGATGGACAGATGGGCAGAAAGACAAATGCTATGTTTAATATGCTGGATTTTCTCAGGGAGCCTGGATGGCTCAGTCAGTTAGGCATCCAACTCTTGGTTTCAGCTCAGGTCATGATCTCACGGGCCTGGGTCCATGCTCAGCGGGGAGTCTGCTTGAAGATTCTTTCCCTCTGCCCCTCCCCCCCACTTGTGTGAATGCACATGTGCGCTCTCTCTCTCTCTCTCTCAAATAAATAAATCTTTTTTTTTTAAGATTTTATTTATTTATTCATGAGAGAGAGAGAGAGAGAGAGGCAGAGGGAGAAGCAGACTTCCCGCAGAGCGGGGAGCCCGATGCGGGACTCGATCCCAGGACTCCGGGACCATGACCTGAGCCGAAGGCAGATGCTTAACCATCTGAGCCACCCAGGCGCCCACAAATAAATAAATCTTTAAAAAAACATGTTGAGGGGCGCCTGGGTGGCTCAGTCGTTAAGCGTCTGCCCTTGGCTCAGGTCATGATCCCAGGGTTCTGGGATCGAGCCCCACATCGGGCTCCCTGCTTGGTGTGGGGCCTGCTTCTCCCTCTCCTTCTGCCCCTGCTTGTGTTCCTTCTCTCGCTGTGTCTCTCCCTGTCAAATAAATAAATAAAATCTTAAAAATATATATATATGTTGAAAAAAAATTTTTTAAGTAAAAAAATATGCTAGATTTTCTCTGTTCCCCTCTTCAGATTCACTCTCCACTCTCCTCCACTTTTCTCTGTGCCCAGGAGACGGGGCTCTCTGCCAGACGCATCAGCTAGACTCCCTCGTCTTCTGGCTTTGGGTTGGGTTGGGCCAATGGAAGAGACCCCAGCAGAGGCAGAGGGTAAGGAGGGGACAGATGCCAGGGGATTTCTTTTCCTGGCTTCCTCTCCACCAGGCTGTGGGTCGGCTGAGGCTGTTCCCCCCTCTTGTGGCCATAGCTCCTGTCCTCTGGGACAGCCACAGGTCTCTGTCTGGGCCCCAGCGGTGTTTCTTCCCTTTACCACCTCAGGCCTGCACAAGTCGATCCTGCCCAGTATTGCTAGTTCTGTGCAGTTTCACCATCCCTGTGGTTCCCGTGTCCCTGCTCTCACATCTACCCCTTCATTAACCATCCTTGCCCCTTTGGCTGATGCGGTTGGGATGCGGGACAGAGAAGGTCTCGGTGTGGTTCCACTGCCGGTCCTGTCTCTCCCTCCCCACGGCCCCACCGTCCAGATGACTGCAGTGCTCTCCTGACCGCTTGCCCTGCTTCTGCTCTTACTCCCGCCATCCATTCTCCGCAGCGGCTCAGAGTCACCTTGTTTAACATCAGAGGGCGTTCTTGCCTTGCCTTGAGCCACCATGGGCTTCCCAGAGCCTCCTCCACTCTTGCTGCCCCCTCCTGTGTTCTCTGCCCTCCAGGCTTGCTGACCTTTCCGTGCCCCACCCCCACACTCTCTCTGGCCACAGATGTCTAGCACAGAACTGTCCCCACCACCTAGATCATGGCCCTGCCTTTCACCAGTCTGGCTCTTCCGTACCCTTCAAGTCTCAGCTAATCAATCACTTCCTCCAAGGATCCTCCCGCCTTCCCAGGTGGAGCTGCACGCCCCTCCCTGGAGCCCTGTAGCACCCCTGAGATTCCCCCTCTGCAAGGACTAGCTCCATGCCATCACAGTGTCCGTCCACAGCCCCGCGGGCCGGGAAACTCCATGAGGATGGCCTCTTGCTCCCACTCTCACCTCCGGCACCAGCCCAGGCTGGCAACGTCTGCAGAAGAAGGAGTGGATGGATGGATGAAAGAATGAGTGAATCGCAGCCCAAGTGAGACCTACGGACAGATGGGGCTTGCCTTACCCACACTGACACTCAGCAGTGCATCTCTCCTCAGCCCGAGAGAAGTCCTTTCACTTTCCCAGAGACAGTGAGCTCATTTGCTGAGCCAGGACAGAAGCCCAGCCCTTCACTCCCAGTCCTGGGTTTTCTACACACCACCACCCTGCTGCCTCCACTTACCCAAGTGTCCGCACCTGCAAAGTCCTCAGAACCCCTGGAAGTATGGGATAAGGCTCAACCCCAGGAAGAACCATCCAGGGAGAGACTAGGAGGAGGGGGACCAAGGCAGTGAGGAGAACGGTGGACAGAGAGATGAAGAGGAGGATGATGGAGAGGCAGGGGAAGGGAGAAGGCAGCACGGACCCAGTGTGTGGTCGGCACACTCGATGTAGATATTTGGCGGGCAGATGGTCTCATTGCCTGAAAGGAGAGAAGATTATTCCTGGAGTCTACGGGTCCACCCCCTCTCCCCCACCACATTCCCAAATGTGGGCACACACGTACGTGCATGCACACGTGCACACACATGTAGGTGTTTGCACATCCCTATACACGCACGAGCTTCTACATGCTTGTGCATGCATGCCGAAATGTCCACAAGCATATATGCTTGCAAGCATGTGCGCACTCGCACGCGCACATATTCACACATCTGTATGCCTGTGTTCCAGCCCGTGCACACAACCCCCTCAAGCATGCAAGCATAAATGTACATAAACACATGTATGCTCAGATACATATTAACATGCCACAAGCATGCACGTGCGCATTCCCAGGTGCACACGTGAAACCACATAAAATCCCAAACAGGTGCGTCTGTGTGGCACAGTCTGTTACGCATCCGACTCTTAGTTTCAGCTCAGGTCATGATCTCAGGTTCATGAGATCAAGCCCCGGGCAGCTCCCTGCTCAGCAGGGAGTCTGCTTCTCTCTCACTCCCTCTGTCCCTCCTCCCCGCTCTCTCTCTCTCAAATAAATCAGTCCTTTTTAAAAACCCCAAGCCCACACGCGTGCCCTCGCAGGAGGCTAGACCCACACAGGGGCAGCCTTCCGCCCTGGAGGACCTGGAGCCCGGCCGGGCGGCGGAGGCCAGCGGGAGGGGAGGGCGCCCACCTGGCATGTGCACCATCCGGCACCGGCAGCGCTGAAGCACGGCCTCCTTCTCACAGCGCAGCCGGCAGGCAGACACGCTGTAGGCTGAGTAGCCCTGAAGCTCAGGCTCCCGGAGCCCGCTCTCCGCCCGGCAGTTGCCCCAGGGCTGGGGCAGATAGGTCAGCTGCGGAGGTGGGGCATATGGGGTCACGCCTCAGAGTCCCCCGGGCCCTCCACTGCCCACAGCTCCAGCAAAGTCCATGGGCGGGGGGCGGGGGGCGGTGAGCTTTTGAGGGCAGGGCTGGTCAGCATCCCCTCTGGGCCCAAAGACCCTGCCCTATGCCCGAAAAACTCAGGACCCAACTGGCGGTGCTCACCCGCTGTTCCTGGCAGGACACGAAGGTTTGGAAGCCTGGGGACACACCGAAGCCCAACTGGTGGATGTAGGGGGGCTCCTCTTGGCTGTGGATCTGCACTCGGATGCCAGCCTCAAACGATGTCTCGTCTGCACAGTGGCCGTGGGGACATTGGGAAACCCATGCCGGGCAGCGGGCCCAGGTTGGAGCCCCCAAATCGGCCCCCCGTCCCTTTCCCTGCATACTTGTCTCTCTCCAGATGGGCAGGTATTCCTCCTGCTGGATGTCCAACATGATCTCCAGGCCACTGCCCATGCCCCCTGCCCGACTGGGCAGCGAACTCTGTGGATCTGCGTTGAAGGTGTAACACTTCCCGTAGCGAGTATAGACCTGCGGGGTGAGAGAGAGGAGGAGAGGAGACGAACGGAGGGGCTAAGACAATTCCTTAAGCTCAAGGTTCCCTGTCCTGTGGGAGGACCATCGCACCTGCCTGGACACCACTGTCCAATAGCGAGCGGTCTGCAGCCCCGCCTCTTCCCCAAGCAGGATCTTTTCTAGTGACACCCTCTCTTAGACGACTCAAAGGCATCCCCAGCATCACATATCAATAGCAGAACTCTTGCTACCTTCCCAAAACCTGTGCTCCCCCTCCTCTAATTAAAGGGCCCCACCATCTATCTATCCAGTTTCTCAAGTCAGAACCCTGACACTTCCCTCTCCCTCACCCCTACGTTAGATCCAGCATGTGCGCCGGCCGATTCGACTTCTGAAATCTATTTAGAATCCAACCACTTTCCTTCCATCTTGTGCCCCCCCGCCCTTTCACCACCATCTCCCACCTGGCTGTGGCGATGGGCTCCTAACTGGTCTGCCTTCATCCATCCTTGCCCCTCGCTCCTGGCCCTTCCCCCACACAGTAGCCCGAGTGCCCGTTGTAGAGTGCATGGATCCGATCGAGTCCCTTGCTGGCTTGAAACCCAACATTTCCCAGACAGTAAAGCTCAACTCCTTCCCTGGCCTGAAAACCTCCATGCAGTGTGACCTCTCCTGCCACTCCAGCCCCGGGATCTCGCAGGTGACAAATTCAAACTTATGGAGCACCTTCCTTCCTCTGGCCCTTGTTTGTTCAGTTCCTCCACCTGGAATGCCTCCTCCCACCCCGCCCTTGGCATGGTTAGCTGCCTTTTAAGTCTCTGCTTAAATGTCCCCTCTTCAGACGCATGCCCATATACCACACACACGTCACCGAGGTGTTCGTTGGTTTGCTGAGTACTTATCAAGACCTGAGATGATCTGGTGTATCTGTTTGTCTCCTTGTCCAGGGCCCATCTCTCCCCCACTGAGGTTTATGCGGCAGAGGAGCAATGAGCTTGTTCGGTGTCCCCAGCCCTGGCCCAGTGCCGAGCACAAGGGATGCTTATAAGCAGTTACTGCCGCGCTCAACGAAGCCCCTTTTTCCCGTACGGAGAGTTCCCCGGCATGGACACCAGATGGCGCTGGCGCCCCGGAGACGGAAGCCGAGGCCCCGCCGGCCCTAGCTGCGACGGGGCTTCGCGGAGCTGCTGGGCCGGGGGTCAAAGGAGAGGCGGAGGCAAGTTCCCCGCTGCCAGGCGCACCCCACAGAGACGAGCCCCCGGGTCAAACCCATCACAGGCAGCACCTTCCCTGGGGGCAAGGGGTCAGTGCCCTCAATCACTCTCGCGCTCCCCCTCCCCTCTCCTTGGGAACATTTCGCACTGGTAAAAGCTGGGAGAAAAGGCACGGGCGGTGTTGGGGAAAAGATATCCTAAATGCCTAGCTTCAGAGAGATGGTGTAGAAGAGAGAGGGGCTGGGTTGGGGGCAGCGGGAGGGAGGCTGTCGAAGAACTGGGGGCCTGGGACACCCTTATTGGGGATCAGGGTTAAGTCTCCCATGCCCTAGTGATGCTCTCCAATCACACCATTCTTCTGTCACCCAAACACCTTGCCTCTCGGTCCTCAAACAAAAATGGGTGCGTAACAAGCACGTGCAATTTACAAAACATGGCTACATCCACCCCTGCCCTATTGCATGCACTCAGCAACTCTGGTATGGACAGGTTTCATTAACCTGGTTTTTATTGACCAGGAAATGACCGCTCAGGGAGGTGATGTGCCTTGCTCAAGGTCACACAACCAGTCAACTAGTTGGTGGGAGAAGTGGAATTCGTCTGGATGCAAGACTTGAGCTGTTCCCACAACCCATTACTGGGAGCTGCCCACCGGCCAAGCCAGACCCCAGCTCCTTCTCAGCCCTGCCCAGCGGAAGTGAGACAGGTGTGTGACTCCACACCCATCTGTCCCCCCTTCCCCTCTTCCTCCTTCCCTTGAGCACCACTCCTGTACACCTTCCTTGCTCTTTGTTCTGCAGATCCCCTCCCTCTCAGTTCCTCTCCTGTCCCTCCCTTCCTGCTCTGCCCCTTCTCCTGCTTCTGGGTTCCGGCCCTTGGCCCTGTCCGGATCACCCTGCCCACTCTGCTGGGGCAGGAGGAAGCACGGCACAGTCCCAGAGCATTTGCCCTGCCCAGGCACTAAAGCTAAATGCCTCACGTGCTCTTTCCAATGGGATCTTCACAACCACCCTAGATCCCACAGATGAAGAAATGGAGGCTCAGAGAGGTGGACTGGTTTACCAAGGTCTCCGAGATCACTGCTTCTCAGACTTTCATGTGTGCACAAAAGCACCTGGGGACCTTGCTAAAATACAGATTCTGATTCAGTGATGTGTGAGATTCTGCATTTCTAACAACCTGCTGGTCCGTGGACCGCACTTCAAGTAGAAAGGCCCTGAATGAACAACAGGTGAGAGTCCAGTAAGACAGCTCCACTTTAGACCTGCGCTCTGACCTGTCACTGGAGGGAGGGGAACCCGGAAAAGGGGTGGGTGCAAGATTCTTGGATTCCCCAGGGGTGTAGGAAAGACAGATGGGGGGAATACATAAGTATTTGCCTCAAATCTCAAAGCACCACCCTCTTCCTACTTAAGGCCAAAAAGATGCTGGAATTGGCTCTTACCAATGCAGCCAGTTGAGCGTATGCTCTAGTTGAGAGGCTAAACAAGGCATGGGCTCCATGGGGGACCCAGTTAGTGAGCTGCCCCCCACCTCCATTCCCGCCCCCACCCCCATGCTGCTCTCCCTGACCACCAGGAACCATCACAGCCTCTCCACAGCTCAACCCAACCCATGGGACTGTGGCCTCCCCGCGGCTGGGAGCCACAGTTTACCATCTTGGCTGGCAAAGAGCCCAGCACAACTTGTAGAAGGAGGCATGAGGTGGACAGAAGGAGTTGCAGGCAAGTCCTTCCAAAGGCCCGGTGCTATGGTGCTTTTGATTTATTTTCTCCTTCGAACTTTCCAGAAAACCACACGAGGAAAGTATTGTTGCCCCCATTGAATGGTGAAGAAGCTCAGAAAGGGAAAGTGACTTGGCTAAGGGCTCACAGCAAGGAAATGACGACAGAGATTCAAACACAACCGAGCCCAACACCAAAGCAGAGTTAGTGCTTATAAAGACCCGGTAGGCAGTCAGTGACTACAAGACTCTGGTAGGCTCCTGCCCTAGATGGGGCTCGGCCAGCCTCCCTTCCTGATACTTCCAACGTGTTCATACAGACACATGCTGCGTGACCTGGAGCCCAGCCCCGGGCAGGGCAGAGGGAACCAGGAAGGTTTTGACTACAGTGACTTGGCCGGGGGGGGGGGGGGGGGGGGCCGCTTCCTGGCCCCCTGACCTTGAGGCGGTGGTGCAGAACAGCAGTGACAGAGGGGGGAGGAGCTCTGGGACTGCTGGCTGTACCCTGCAGGGAACGGGCAGGCCAGATTGGCAGGGCCACCTGCACGGCCCAGGTCAGGCCCGACTGCTGAGCAGAGCAGAGCGTTGCCCCGGAGACAGTCCCCGGGCCAGGCAGTAGCGGCGGGGGGAGCTGCCAGCTCCTAAGTGGCAGAAGTCTGTGGCGGCACAGCCCCCGGCCTCTTCCATGGAGACGGCACGGCAGCTCCGCCTCAAGGTCCCCCAGGCTGGTCACTGCTCCCTTCCCCATGGACAGGCCCCGAAGGAGGGTGTGTCCGGGGCCCAGCAACGGAGAGGGGCAGGTGCAGGGCCACAATGTGCCTTCATGGGCTGAGGATCTGTCTCCAAGTGACCCACCATCAACGCCTTTGGGCCCTGTTCCCATCTCAGACCCCCACCTCTTCCTTTGGTCTGCCCCCCACCCCCTTTGCTCTCTGCCTCAGCTCCCAGGTCCACCTTCCTGATCCGAGGCTAAGCGCATGGCTTCCCAGGCTGAACAGCTTCTAGACGGGAGTCTGTCTGTGCTGTGTGGGGACCCTTGGACCCCCTCCATGACCTTTGTCTGTCTTTCTTTCTTTCTTTCTTTCTTTCTTTTTTAAGCTTTTATTTATTTATTTGTCAGAGAGACAGAGAGCACAAGCAGGGGGAGCAGCAGAGGCAGAGGGAGAAGCAGGCTCCCCACTGAGCAGGGAGCCCGATGCGGGGCTCGATCCCAGGACCCCAGGATCATGACCTGAGCCGAAGGCAGACGCTTAACGACTGAGCCACCCAGGCGCCCCTCCATGACCTTTTTCTGGCCAGCCCCCTACCTGTCCCTCTCAGAGAGCTTTACCCTTTCTTGGCCCAGACCCTGGCCTGGGTTTGCCTCCCTAGTCTCTGTCCCCTGATCTTGGTCTGTGTCTCAAGGCCGTTCTCTCTTCTCCTGGCCTGGTTGTCCTCAGCGTCTGAGAAACTACCCATCCGGCTTCTGTTTCTCTGTCCATCGCCTTCTTTCGGCCTGTCTGTCACCGTAGCCTCCATTTCCTCTCCCACTGGCCTGGCTGCCCCCATTTTCTCCGTTCCTTCGACCTCAGCATCTGCATCCTGTTTATCCTTAGCCTAGGTGTCCAGTCTCTGTCTCTTGTCCTACTAGACTTTTCCCTGGGCCTGAAACTGCCCCTGTCAAGCCAGGAACCCCTCCCTAGGTGTGCTTCCCTCCTTCTCCCTGCCCCCCCCACCGACATCAGAGCTTGGGAGAAATCTGTCCAGAGCTCTCTACTCTGAGCAGTGGCTCCTCTCAGCCCCTTGGGTTCCATCTATCCACAGCTCCGATTTCCCCGCAAAGCTCTCCTTGGCTGGCTGGCTTGCATGCACCCCCCAGCCCTCCCCACCCCTCATCCTCCCTGCAGTCATGGAGCCCACTGGAGCCCACAGGGTTAACAGGCAATTAGCAGGGCCAGGGCTCAGAGCTGTGGGGGAGAGGGCCCTGGGCCGCCAGGAGATAAGAAGCAGCCCAGAGCAGCAGAGGCTGGGCTAATCCCGGAGCTAATCTGCGGCCTGGGCTTTTATCTTCACCACCTTCTGGGCACCCTGCCTCCGCT